TCTTAAAATTGTTCTGCACTTTTAAACCTCAATTCTAAGTCCGTTCATCTTCTTTGCAGCCGTAACTTTGTATTCCTCGCTCCGTTCAATCACCCTACGACCTTTGTACGCAATGATCTGCCTGTACTGCACGCAAAACAAAACTTTTCACTGTATCTAAGTACATGTGACAACAATAAATCAAATCAAAATTCTGTTTGAATATGTTCAGAAACCCTTAGGAAACGAAGGAAAAACAATGTATGAAGTGCTTTCAGGCAATAGTGATTACAGTACAGAAAGAGCTATGTTTTTTCCCTAAGGCACATTGCTGCAAAAACCAAATGTTCATAAATCTAACAGCTGTTGAAATCAGGTTTTATTTCCACATTTAAACAAGACTGGTCTCAAATCTTGGATGATCAATGATAATGTTGAATAGTGGAGCAGGGCCAACTGACCTACTCTTGCTCCATTTTTCAATGTAAACTGATTTGGCTTCAAGTTTTCTTGATTTTTTTTAAAATCCAGGCATTTGGATTACTTGTCCAGTAATGGGTACCACACTCTTGTATCAGTGCTTATGCAGTGCTGGTTTATCAAATTGTCTGGGTCAGTTCCTTCCTTTGTAATTGGCTATTTTTCTAGACCAGTTCTTTTTGATTGTTTGTTCTTTAAAATTTTATTTGGACTAATGGTGTTATGGTTGCTGTTTCCTAGATGTTCACCAACTGTTGGACCTTATCCAGATTTCACTACTACTTTTAAGCTACAGTTAGAACTGCCTCCTCCTTTATAAATGCAAATTCTTTCCCTTTCTCAAGTACAATTATATAGAAAGAGGATCATATCTCGAGGACGAGAGGACAGTGAAATAAATTAATGTGCAAATGGGGCACAGGTGATGAGAGAAGAAAAAGAGTTTCACACAATGAGTGGTTAGGCTCTGGAACGCGCTGCCTGGGATGTGGTAGAGGCAGATTTACTTCGACATTCAAAGGCCATTGATTCCTAATGCTGTGCAGGGATATATGGAAAAGCAGGAAATTGGTTCTAGATAATTGACCTGGTGCAGTCACAGTGGGCTGAATGGCTTCCAACTGTACTGTAATAATTCTGTGATGCTGTTTCTTTGAACATAAATTGCTGACTGTATCACTCTAGATCATATACAGCGTCACTTGGGGAAATTGCAGTTGCTTTTGATTTTGGTCCTTTGACATCCGCTCCTGGGCGTCGTTCCAAAGAAGAGGTTCAGGTGTATCCACTTTACATTCTGTATGAAAATGGCGAGACCTTCTTGATATATTGCAACCTCACTCACAACAGGTAATCTATCTGTAAATGTGTGCCACTGACCCTGTGGAAAGGGGGTGGTGGGGAAGGCAACAGAGATAAATAAGCTTCAGAAAAATGTCAGTGATTTAACTTTTTTACCTGATTCATATTGTTAGCTACTTTTGTTAAATCATGTAATTTGTGTTGGGGAATTGATGGCCATCTGGAGTAGGAGACCTTTGTGCTTTACATTATAATGCATCTCTGATGTGAACTGAGGCTCAGAATTTTTGAGTTCACCATCTTTTCTGGAACAGGCAGAACTGGAGCTGCAGGAATAAAATGGGGAATTGGTGTGATAAAAGGATCTCATTGAAGTAAATGAACCAAAAATGTATCTTTAATCAACTTATTATCCTAGATTGTTAGGTCATTTACAGATCCTTTGGGGCATTAGTTATGTGATGTTGGATGGGAAGGTATTTTGATGTGCAGAAAGCACGTTCTAGCTTCTAGTCTCAGTCATAGATTTAACAGCTCCAGCAGTCAGCCCACAGTCAGTGAAGAGATCAGATGTCAAGCCTTTGCTTTTTGGGGGAGGCAACCAAAGAATAATATAATGCACTCAGGTCAATTGGGAGTGATAAGTAAAGGCTTGCAAGTTTTGATCTCATTTAGTAATAAGGCTGAACAAAAACATGTTATTTGGTCCACTATCCAGGACCATGTGAACAGTTCATTATTTTCTGGATAATGCACAGGATTTATATTAGCTTAGTGAGGTTTTGTATTATACTTCCAGCACTCGCTGGAATATGAAGTGGCTTCATGACACTTGAGGAATAAGCGAGACAGAGGCAGGAAACTATTGGCCTGTTAGCCTATCATCTGTTATAGGGAAAGTGCTGGAATCTGTTTTGAAGTAGCTAAGAGGGCAGTTTAGAAAATCATAACATAGCAGAGTCAACATAGTTTTGTGAAAGGGAAATCATATTTGACAAATTTATTCACATTCTTTAGCAAGGTAGCAAGCAGGTTGGATAGAAGGAAGCCTACAGATATACTGTGTTTGAATTTCCAAAAGGTATTTGATAACATGCTACGTAAAAGTTTGGTAGTCAAGATAAAAGTTCATCAGGTTGAGATAATATATTGGTTTCGATAGACAATTGGCTAATGATTTGGAATAAATGGATAATTTTTGGATTGTCAAACTGCATCTAAATGAGAGCTGTAGACATCAGAGCTGGACACTGGACTATTTGACTTGTTTGAAAGGACCAATTATTTTAGCCAAATTTGTGAACGTACAGAGAAGATAGCAAAGCACAATCTGCAAATTCATATGGGCAGAAAGATATTGCTATATGGTGTCTATAATATGAGTCAATGTAAGGTGGTTGACTTTGGAGGGAGGAATAGAAAAGCAGAAAATTATTTAAAAGCACTATGCTGCAGTATAGAGGGATCTGAGTAGTGTTGAAAACGAACCAGCAAAGGTGACTGTGAGGGTACTGCAACTATTCAAGTTGAAAGGAATTTTGGCCTTTATTGTAGTGGAATAGAAAACTTGAAGTTTTGCAGCAACTGTGCAGGGTATTGGGACAACCATACTTACGAGTATTATGTACAGTTTTGGTTTTCTCACTTAAAGAAGGATGTATGAGTATTGGAGAGGTTTGGAGAAGATACACTTCTGATGGCCTTTTCAGGAAAGGTTGAGCAGGTGGACACAGTAGTAGAGGCTGAGTTTTGAACTGTATGTGGAGTTGAGAGCTATGGAGGACAGGAAGGGAAGTGGGGTTAAGGACACAGTCTAATCAACCGTGATCTTGTTGTGGTGGAACAGGCTCAATGGGCTGAATTAATGATTCTTTCTATTATGTTCCTGTGTTCATACCTTGTTTCATTCTCTCAAGGAATGCATGAGTCATTTGCCAATATTTGTTACCCATCTCTGACTGACCTTTGAATTAAGTGGCTTGCTAGGCAATTTTAGATGCATTTACAGTTCAGCGACATTGCTATGAGTGTGAAGTGATATCTAGGCCAGACCTGGGCAGGGTGTTGGATTTACTTCTCTAAAGGACATTAGTGAATCAGTTGGGCTTTTGCAAAAATTGTTGTTCCAGCAGTAGCCATTACTGAGGTTTATATTCTGCACATATTAATTGCATTTAAATTCAACCTATTTTCCGAGAGCATTAGCCTGGATTAGTGGCTCAGCAACCTACCTCTGTGCCATGATCTCTTCTGACTTAGTGATATAGCCAGTGTAAAGTGTAAATCTGCCCACTCTTCAAAGGATTGAGGAGCTTAATGGGCTGTTGGACACACGTACAGAATACAGAAAAGAGGTTTGATTGTCAACCACCCCACCCCCACCCCACCCCACCACAACCCAGATCATGCTAACATTAATCTAGATATTAGTGAAAGTGAACTCTAGAGAGTGCTTAGAAGTGTAACCAGAGGATTTGTTCAGTAACTCCAAAATTTATGGCAGTATTCTAATCAATTTGTAACTTTTAATTCATTGATTGAAATGAAATTCAGCAGTTGCCAAAACTAGTAACGTTATGGATTTAGGATTTTTTTTTAACATTTGTAATAGCTGCTCAGATGAGAATAAAACTATCCTTGTTGGTACTACAAAATGTGACATGAGCTTTACTTCTCTCCTAGCGCTGGTCTTATTGGGAAGTTATTGGGTCCTCTGCCAATGCACCCAGCTGCTGAGGATAATTACGGCTATGATGCTTGTGCCATACTGTGCCTTCCCTGTACCCCCAACATTCTGGTTATTGCTACACAATCCGGCATGTTATACCACTGTGTGGTTCTTGAGGGGGATGAAGAGGAGGATCAGGTGGTAAGATGGAAATGGATCGTGTGCATATAAGAAATATATGTATTTGGAATCTGATTAATCTGGATCTTGGTAGCTTTTGTATATTTATGTGGCTTTTCCTTCTCTTTCCTGTCTCTCCCTTCTCCCTGCCCTTCACCCATCAAACACTGCAACCTTCAGTCTGCCTCCTGTGTAGTAGATAGTTGAGTTGCTGATATGATATTGTCCCCAAGTCATTGTTTTCAATGTGTAGTGTCCAAACAGTCTTGCCTGTGTATGTTTTATGAGGCAGGAGGCAAAATTACAAAAATCAACGCAAGTAGATAAAACAGCAGGAACAAACAACTCTAAGTGCAAACAATTGTTGTGTTGCTATAAAGAGAATAAACTTGCAGAACCTAATTGATATTCTAACATGGATAATTATGCAATGCTACAATTTGGTAAGACGAATAAGGACATTGCACTTTCATTGGAAAGTAAGAGCCCAAATAGGGAGGAGGAGAAATTGGATTACTGGTTTTTCTATGCAAGTCATGAAGTAGAGACCTAGATTAAAATGCCTTTCTTTTTAAAGGCAAACTAAGCAAATAGGGTTCATTTGTTGGCAGTTTGAATTAAAATTCAAAGTTATACTAAACTTGTGTTGCACCTTGGTTAGAATATGCTGGAGTGCTACACAGTTTTGGTCTTGATGTTAAAAAAGATGTGCAGGCATTTTGATAGGTTCAAAGAAGAATCATGGGATCATTTACAAACTGTGGTTATAATAACATGAACAAGCATCAGGGTGTCTTTTCTTTCACACAGCTGAGGGGTCTGCTGATGTTCAAGTTAAGGTACATTTGCAAAAGGTTTTCCACTTGTTGGGATGATCAGAATTAGAGTTAATAAATATAAGATAGTCGCTAACCAATCCAGAATGGAAATCAGCAAATGTCTTTACTTAATGTGGTGGGAATATGAAATGTGTTATTACAAGGTGTAGTTAAGAAAGATAATATAGAAGCTCTTAAGGGGAAGCTAGATAGGTACATGGGGGTGGAAGAAATCGACAGACATGATGATAAGAATAGAAAATAGCAGGACCGTGAGTCAATAGGCTAAATATCACTAACTGAAATAAGGTTAGACCCTCAAGATTTTATGAAATACATAAAATGACTGCCACAATGTAGCTGGCATTTCCAGTTGTGCAGATATTTACCATGTAATGCTGGCTGAACTGATTCAAAGTGCAATTATGTTAACTCTAATTATATAATTAGAAATGTTTATGTAATTACATTGGCTTACTTGCATCGTTTGAGATAATGTGGATATTATACATTGTTGGAAAGTTGAAGATTTATACTGTTCGTGTTTACTTTTAGTCCAATGAATCTTGGGACCTGAGATGCGAATCTCTTCCTTCACTGTACGTGTTTGAATGCGTGGAATTAGAATTGAGCTTGAAGCTGGTAACAGGGGATGATATTGAGCAAATGCAATCTGACTTCTCATGTCCAATCAGATTGCATAAAGGTATGATGCAATGTCTTTCGTGTGCTCCTACATTTATTCACTTATATAACTTAAAACCAGATAGCTGACAGCCGATGTAATTGCATTGGTATTGTATGCAATAAATCTCCTAGTCTTGTTCCATTATTTTATCCCAAATAAACATTCTATTTGAATGAGAGTTTCATATGTGAATCAGCTTTTTTGCCTATTATTCCACAATCTGTCATAATTTAGACCTGTGCCAAGTCTGTTTCAATATATCCACAATGCGGAGTAGTATCTGTCATTCATTTATTTAATTTTATCATTCTAGATCCATTGTGTCCAACACGGTATCATTGCACACATCTAGCTGGTGTGCATAGCATTGGGCTGACATGGGTCAACGAACTGGAAAATTTCTTCAGCGCAGGTAGGTCTATAATCTGAAACAAAAACAGAAATTGCTAGAGAACCTCTGATCTGGCAACATCTGTGGAGAGAAAATAGTTAACGTTGAGTCCAATGACCCTCCTTTGGAACTAGAAGCAACTGGGAAAAAGTGGTATTTGGAAGCGAGCAGATCGGTGGAGAAGAAACAGACTGCAAAAAAGGGTAGGCAAATAAAGGGACTGTTGTTACTAAGCTAGAGAAGCAAGGAGGTGATAATGGAGACTGGGTGAACATGGGTTGGCTGTGCTGAAAGCAGCCCATCTCATGACAGGATCTCTGGTTGTGAAGGTAGATTATAGACATGGAAGGACATGTTCATGCTTTGAAATTGTTCAACTTGATGTTGATTCTTGAAGGCTGAAATGTACCTAACAGAAGATGAGTTGTTGTTTTATCTTCAGTTTACGTTGAGCTTTGCTGAAGCACAGCAGCAGGTCTGAGACAGAAATGTTGGCATAGGAACACAGTGGTGTTGAAAGGGCTGATAACTGGAAATTTGGGGTCACTTCTATGGGCAGAGTGTAGGTATTCTGCAAAGTGGTCACCTGTATTTTGTCTCCCCAGTCTAGAGGAGACTGCATTGTGAGCAGCGAATATAGATTAGATTGAGCAAAATACAAATAAATTGCTGCTTCACCTGCAAGATATGACTGGGGCCTTGGCTCGTGAGGAGGGAGGGAATAAGTGGAAGTGTTGTACATTCTGCGACTGCATGGGAAGATACTGTGTGAAGATGTTGGTGATGGAGGAAGAGTGGGCGAGGGTGTTCCAAGGGAACAGTCCTTGCAGAATGCTGACAAGGGTGAGGAGGGGGCTGTATGTCTTGTCGTAGCATTCCGCTGAGGGTATGAAATTAGTGGTTTATTCAGAGTCATAGAGATCTACACCATAAAAACACCATTCAGTCCATCATTTCTATGCCACTCAAAAATAATCACCTAACTGTTTAACTATGATCCTTTGGATAGGGAGACTTGTGTGGGGGAAATTAAGAACAAGGGGGCCCCTATCATTCTTGTGGCTTAAAAACAGAAGTGTGGGAAATGAGTCAGACACTGCTTGGGGCCCTGTCAACTATGGTAGTGGGGCATCCTCAGTTGAGAAAAATATTGGACCTGTCTGAGGCACTCCTGGAGAAGGTGATATCATCAGAATAGATGCAGCAGAGATAGCTTTATGTCATTAATGCATTTGAAAGTTGTGGTTAGATTTTCTCTTGTTAGAGATATTCATTTTGTGTGGCATGAATGTTACTTGTCACTTATCACGTCGAGCCTGGACATTGTCCCGGTGTTGCTGAATTTGGACACGGGCTGCTTAGTATCCAAGGAGCTGTGAATGGTACTGAACTTTGCATAATCCCCACTTACAAAACCCCTAATTCTAACTTTATTGATGGAGGGAAGGTTGATAATGTAGTTGCAAATGGTTATGTCTAAGACACTACCATGAGGAGCTCCTGCAGTGATGTTTTCAGACAATGACTCATAACCACAGCCATCCTCCTTTTCTCCTGTAAGACTCCAACCAGCAGACCATTTCCCCTTTCATTCCTATTGACTGTATTTTCATGCAGGCTGCTTGATGCCACACGTGATCAAATATTGCCTTGATGTTCAGAGTAGTCACTCACCTCACCTCTGGAATTCAGCTCTTTTGTCCATGCTTGAACCAAGGCTGTAATGAGATCGGGGCTGAGTGGCCCTGGCAGAGCCCAAACTGAGCACCTTTTGAGCAAATTATTACTGAGCAATTGAGTATTTACATCATTTTACTGATGATCACGGGTAGACTGATAGGGTGGTGACTGGCGAGGTTTAATTTGTGCTGGTTTTGGTGGACAGAATATGCATGTGCAAAACCTCATTGGGTAATTGTCAGAATTGTAGCTCTGTTCGAGCAGGTTGGGTAGAATTGTAGCTGCTTCTGGAGCACAAGAATGTTGGCAGAGCTTGGAGATTTCGCAGTATCTGTGCCTTTAGCTGTTTCTCTATGATGTAGTGAGTCAAGTTGTTTGAAGGCTGTTGCTGGCTCATCTGTGGGATAGCTCTCCCGATTCTTTGATTAACCCCCAAAATGCTAGTGCAGAGGACTTTGCAGGGACAACGTGACCATGCCATTTGTAATTTTCACTAAGTTGATACTTGATGGTCTGTCCAATTTTAATTCTTTAGACTTTGTAGCAATTATCATATAACTGACTGGCTTGTTTGATCATTTCAGAGGGCAGTTAAGAGTCAACCACATTGTTGTGGGTGAGGAGTCATATGTAGGCCACACCAGGAAATGATAGATTTCCTTCCCTAAATGAGACTAGTAAATCACTTTTGGAAAATAAAGTAGTCTAGATCTGCCTCATCTGTTGATTTTGGTAATTTTTGCCAGTCTTTTTAAGTCTACTAGCTCGTATTTCTCCATTCCTGTGGATTGTCGATAACATTTTGCTTTTATGCCTATAGATGATGAAGATAAAAGCGCACTTCAGGAGTTGGTAGCAGAGCAGAAATGCTTAGTAGAACATGTCCTGTGCACCAAACCACTGCCATGCAGGTATCATCTTCCTATGTTCCTCATTGCTCTGCTCTGTAGCTGGAAACTATTTGTTTTATATTGTCATCCTTGTTGTTTTAACCTGTTTTGTGATATTTTAAGTATTGCAAATGTTTTACAAATTGTTACTTTTTCCCTCTGCCATACTTAGGCCAAGTAAGCTGGGTTTTACGCTGATGTTGAAACTTGATCTCCTGAGTGGTGTCTAGGACTGGCCCACTTTTTCTCTTTAGCAGTTTTTGGTTTGAAAGCTAACATTGAGAATTGAATTTTGAACAGCTTTTTTAAGAGGAGAGAACAAGCAAAGTGATGTTTGCATATGGGGAAAAATAATTGCAGGTTAATTATTGCTCTAAAAACATCAAAGCTGATTTGGCATCAGGATATTCATTATGTTCAAGGACTGGCAGCTGACTGGATGTTGCATTCATCAATCTAGGCAGGGTCAGTGCTGGCCAACCAACCACAAACTGTTGAAAAAAGTAGAAATCGTAGACTCAAATGGTTTTGACTAGATGTTTGGGCAGAAGGATGTGTTTGATTTTTACTCAGTTGAAGAATTGTTAAATGTCCTGTGAAAAGAATCCCACTTTATAATAAATAAGTCAATATTCTATGGTGCATGCTGGAAGCTGTTTGCATTGACCAGTGACTTTGATTATATCTTGCTTGAATTCCATATCACTCTGCCATCATGAACAATCTGTGTCACGTCCTCAAAAAGATTCAAACAAGTTTGTGAGACATCACCTTCCCCACAGAAAGCCATGCTACTTATTGCTAATAAGTCCATATTTTTCCAAATATGAGTAAATCCCTAAGAATCTTGTTCAAAAATTTCCCTACAGCTGACGTAAGGATCACTGGCCTACAATTTCCCAGATTATCCCTGTTGCCCTTCCTAAACAAAGGAGCAACGTTTGCTGTTCTCCAGTGACTAAACAGGATGCATAGATTTTGTACAAGGCCACAGCAATTTCCTCACCCACCTCCCTCCATATTCTGAGAGAGATCCCATTCAATCTGGGGACCTGTCTACCTTAATGCTTTTAAAATACCCAATACCACCACCTTTCTTATTGACATGCCCCAAATATCAACATACCCCTCCCATGATTCACCATCAACCATGTCCTTCTCATTTGTAAATACCAATGCAAAGTATTCATTGAGGATCTCACCCACTTTCTCCGCCTCCATGCATTAATTGTCTCTTTTGTCCTTGAGTGGAGCTACGCTTTCCCCAGCTACCTTCTTGCTCCTTATATACATTTATAACACCTTGGGATTTTCCTTAATTCTGTTTGCCAAAGACATTTCATGGCCTTTTTTAGCCCTCCTAATTCATTCTTTGAGTTCTTTCCTACTGTCTCTTTGTTCTTTCAGGGCTCTGTCTTCTGTTTCCTAAACCTAATGTATGCCTTTTTTTTCTCTTTGACTAAGCTCGCAATTTCTCTTGTCATCCAAGGTTTCCGAATCTTGCCATCCTTCTCCTTCATTTTCACAGGAACGTTGTAAATTTTCTGATGGCACCAAGATAGGAAGCATTGTAAGCAGTGTAGATGAAAGCATAACATTACAAAGAGAGATAGCCTAAATGAATAGGCAAGAACATTGGCAAATGTGGTGTCGTCCACTTTGGAGCCAGAAAAGGATAGAACAGCATTTTTTTTCTTAATGATGAAAAGCTGAGACAGTGAAGATCCGTATGGACTGCTTTTTTTTGAGGGGGTGGGTGGCAGATACGTCATTGAAATGTCTTCAGGTCCTTAAAATCAAATGATCAAAATGGCTGCTGGACTACTGGCCTTCTACACCTAGAGGGCTGAGGTAATTCTGGGTACTAAAGCTTGGAAACAATTTATTGGCCTTTTAGCCTGTCAAGTATAAGTTTTCTAGGATAACGAGAGAGTTTATAAAGAAATATGATTGTATTCCCTGGAACTTTCTAAAGTTACGGGGTGATTTGATTTAAGTTTAAGATCTTGAGGGAATCAAGTAGCTTGAAGAGAAACTATTTCTACTAGTTAATCAAGGTTAACTAAGACAAAAGGATGAAGGTAAAAAGATTAACAACATATAGGGAGTTGTAAATCAGACTATCTGCAGGTTTTGCTTCATGTATTCATGGCATGTAGGTGTTGTAATACTGATTTTACAAACACTGAGCTCGTAATTGATTCACTGAGCTGACTGATTTTTGTGCAGACGTTTCGCCTCCCTTCTGGGTGACATCTTCAGTGCTGTCTCACCTCCATTGAAGCGCAGTTGTTCTGTCCCGCTCCGAATTTATATGGTTTGGTCTGTCATGATGGGTAGGCCTGTTTCCGGTTTTGCACCATAGTGGTATGGAGACGGGGTCTTTTCAACATGTTTGTTTATCACACCAGTGGTTGAAAACCGGGCCTCCAGGAATTGTGGCCGTCCTACCCTACATTAGAAACACATCGGAACTGCCTACAAGACTCCTGCGACCTCTTGGAATAATGATAGCGCACAAACCGATAGTCAAACTTCACCAGTTACACTCAAAGACGAAAGACCACATACCCACAGTGAACAGGACTAACGTGATATATAAAATACCATGCAGCAACTGCGAGAAACCCTACATAGGACAGACAGGCAAGAAACTTGCCACCAGGATACATGAACACCAACTTGCAGCAAAACGGCACGACCAACTCCCCCTTGTTTCAATACAGTCTGATAAAGAAGGTCATTAGTTTAACTGGGACAAAGTAACAATATGAGGACGAGCAAAACAAAGATAAGCACGAGAATTCCTGGAGGCCTGGTTTTCAACCACCAGTGTGATAAACAAACGTGTTGAAATAGACCCCATCTATATACCACAACGGTGCAAAACCGGAAACAGGACTAACCACCATGACAAATCGGACCAAATAAATTCGGAGGGATAGAACAACTGCGCTTCAGTGAAAGCTAGACAGCACTGAAGATGTCACCTAGAAGGGAGACAAAACATTTGCACAAAAACCAATCGGCTCAGCGAAGCAACCAACAATTCCAGCCACAACCCAAGCTACAGATCTTCACTAAAACATTAAACCGAGCTTGTAGGTTGAATCTAGTCCTTTATTTTAAAGTAGTCGATTATATAAGTAGGTATCTGGGATTTCTAGTCACAAAGCCACTCTCTCAAGTCTTTAAATATTTTTTGTCACTTTTGTTTGCTAAGAAAAATGATAGCTGCATTATTTTCACATTGTGTATGTTTCTTCAAATTCTTACAGTCCACCTGCACCAGTCAAAGGATTCTGGATCATTTCAGATCTGTCCCTAGGAGCCGCAATGATTTGTATTACTGATTCTTTTGAATGTATTATTAGAGAATTGCTGTAAGTATTTTTCTTGTATCATTGAATTAATGGGTTTAGTGGTACAGCTCTTGGGAAAGTGATCATCTGATTTATCATAAATTGTTCTGCCAGAACAAAAACAGAAGTTGCTGGAAAAGCTCACAGGTCTGGCAGCACCTGTGAAGAAAAAAATCAGTTAACATTTCATGTCTGGTGACCGTTCCTCAGAACCAGACCTGAAATGCTAACTCTGATTTTTTTTTTCTTCACCGATGCTGCCAGACCTGCTGAGCTTTTCCAGCAACTTCTGTTTTTGTTCCTGTTTTATAGCATCTGCAGTTCTTTCGGTTTTCAAACATACGGACCAATATAATTGTGGACCGGTGAAGTCTTGAGACTGTTGGTCTGCTGAACCTATTGGTGGCATTGAGTATTTGACATGACTCCTACTCCTAAATGATATCCGGTTCTCCATTAGAAAGATGCAAGCATACAAAGTTTGGATAAAAACAAAAATGTTGAGTTTTTCTGAAACCATCCACAACCCTAGCACCCAATGTAAGATCGATTCCTTGGGTAAGTTATCAGAGGCTAGCCAGCATTTGCACATCTACACCCCATTGTGGATAACCAACTTGGGGCTGTGGCAGGGAGGAAAAAGTATGAGTTTGGAAGAGTCTGCCTGAGATATTGTGGCTAGGCAAAGGTTGACAGTTGGAATATATTGTGGGAAAATGTAAAGCTATCCACTTTGGTAGAAAAATTAAGCGGTATATGCAGACTGTGGTAGGTTCATAGTGTCCTATTGCGTGAAACACACTATCAGCATGCTAAATTTTAAGTAATTAGGAAGACAATAAAATGTTGGCATATATTGCAGCGTAGATGGTGTTTTGATGCAGGGCGTTGAGAGTATTGTGTAAAGTTTCAATCTCTTTATTTAAGTAAGGTTATACTTGCATTAGAAGCAGCTCAGAAGTTTGACTGGGTAGATTCTATTTCAGGAAAGTTGGGCCTATGCTCATTGCTTGACAAGTAGACGCTGAGAGGATTTTTCCCCTTGTGGGAAAATGCAGAATTGAGGGATGCAGTTGCCTATTTAAGGTGGAATGCAAACAAATTTCTTCTTTCAAGACAGTCAGTAATCTTTAGAATTTTTTGCCACAGAGAACTATGGGGATTGGGGGTGGAATATAATTGCTGAGAGACAGACTTTTTTAAACTTTAGGGGAATCGAGGGCTATGGGAAACAGACAAAAATTGAGTTGCACAAAGATCAGATCAGCCATGATTTGACCGGTAGGGGAGCAGGGTGGCTGAGTGTCTTACTGTCATGTAATAATGCCATTGAGTAATATACACCTGATATGGGTTTGATACTTTCAACAACTCATTTGAAACTGTCTGAACACTGACTTGATCAGTAATAAATAGTAATAAATTTGTTGATGTTTGCAGGACCACTACAAGGCCAGTGTCACCGCCATTATTGTGTTCCAACCCAGAAAACAGCTGCGTGGCATCTCCACTGCGAAACTTAGCAAGCAGTTCCTTTGAGCAACACATTAGAAACATTTTGCGTCGTAGTACAACTAATCCATTGCTACTGAGGTATTGTTTTAATCCATTGATATGTTCCCATGCAGATTATTTCATTGCATTCAACCAGGCTTCCCTAACTTCTCCAAACCCACTAATGCGAAATAATTAGTGGAATCATATAATGGCATAACACAACTAGAACCATATAGTACAAAACAGCAATAAAATTCTGTGTTTGACTTGTGCTGAATTCACTGACCTTAGTTAAGGCAGTGCAGTTTCCTTCCCAACACTGAATCCTGTAAGGACAGAAATACGTGAATGCTAGTTAGGTACGGTTGAGGTGCTCTGTCTGGAGAAGTACGATTTGCTGTACCATTTTGTTTGTTCATTTTGGTGAACGGTTTATGAGCTGTTCCCATTTGTGAAATGTGCCCTGGGTCAGCATCTTCTGAAGTGAAAAATTTAACAAAGTGGTGTTTTCTACCTGGAGAAACTGAATCTGCAATGATGAGGCATTCTGTTCTCCCATACATGTCCAGATTTGAACAGTGATCTTGACTGAAATTAGTACTTGGCCGTGTCTTGAAATAAATGTTGGCATTTCTGCAATTAACGCTTTGGGTCTGGGGTGACTAACAGAGCATCCATTCAATGCTTAACCCAGCTTTCTGGAACACAATATGCAACTGACTGGCTTCTGGGTCACCTCCGAGAGCAATCAAGTCACTGTAGGACTGGAATTTTGTCAGGCCGAGGAAGGATGGCAGATTTTGTTTCCTAACTGTCAAGTATAGGCCCAACTTTCCTGAAAAGGAATCTACCCAGTTGAACTTCTGAGCTGCTTCCAATGTAATATCTCTTTCTTTAAAGAAAGAGATTGTGAGCCAGTTGTTTTTTTAATAACAATATGACTCTTGCATGGTCACATCTACTGATGCCAATTTCTTACGTTCAGATTCCTGCATTCTCTGAGTTAATGCTTTAGTAGCCTAAATATTACACGTTTCATACCAATAAAATGAGCCAGCACGTGGATATTTAAGAGGAGGCAGTAGCATAGTGGTAGTGTCACTGGTCTAGTAGTCATGAGGCGAATGCTGTAGAAACACTGGTAAAATCCCACCATGGTGGCTGATGGCAATTCATAGCCAATGAATAAATCTAGAATATATATCTTTTTGATTCAACCTGTTCAGAGATTATTATACACCTCAGGAACAAGTGGGCCTTGAACCCAGGTCTCCTTGCTCAGAGGTGGGGAACCACTTCACCACAAGAGCTGGGTCCACTTTTCTTTGTCATTGAAATAAATGGTTTAGGTGAGAGTATAGAAAGCATGGTTAGTAGGTTTGTGGATGGACTGGTTGAACTGAAGGGTCTGTTTCTGTGCTGTATGACTAAGGGCCCATTAAATCTGGAATATAAAGTTAGTCCCGGTAATGTTGCCATGAAACTACTGTCACTTGTTATAAAAGCTCATCTGGTTTGCTAATGTTTTCTAGGGAAGAGAATCCGTCATTGTTACTTGGACTCCACAATCACAGCAATGCAGTTGATTCTTAACTTCCCTCTGAAATAACCTCCTAAACCATTCAGTACATTACCAACAAGGGATAGGCAACAAATGGTGGCTTTGTTAGCGATTCCCACATCCCATAAAAAAAATCAAGAAAATATTTCAAGCATAAAATGTAAATGTTATCCCTTCAATCCTGGTGGATCCATGAAGGAAAGGTTATAATCAGGCCTGGAGGATAGAGTTCTGCTCAACCAGATAATTAATGTTTATTATATGCTTCTGATGGGAATCATTAAGTCATGTCAGCCTTCATCAGTAATTCTGTTTACATATCCAAGCAGCCATTTGTGTCTGATATTCGCATGGTTTTTCAATTGACGATATGTAAAATGGCAGATGAGTTCTTGGGATGGAGTATCACTGGCTAGGCCAGCAGCTACTACTCATCCCTAATTGGCCATAGAAGGAGGTGGCGAACTGTCACCTCGAATCACTGCAGTCTGTGCAGCATTGGTACACCCATAGTTAAGGGCGCAGTTCCGAGATTTTGACCCAGCAACTCTGAAGGTACAGTAATATTTCCAGGTCAGAATGGTGAGTAATTTGGAAGGGAACTTGCAGGTGGTGTGCCCATGTATCAGCTACAATTTATCCTTTAGATGGTAACGATTTCAGGTTTGGAAGTTGCTGTTGAAGGAACTTTGGTGAATTGCCAAGAAGTTCAAGCTCTTCGGTGCACATCTTCACTCTTCATTTCAGGTCATCAGATGCGATAGGAGCTCCTCCGCCACAGGAATGTCTGCAGCTGTTGAGTCGAGCCACCCAGGTCTTCAGAGAAGAGTACATCCTTAAACAGGCTCTTGCACGTGAAGAGATCACACGCAGGTAATAAAATCACCTGACTGATTTGAACCAAAAAGCTGCATTTATATAGTGCGTTTAAGCTAATGAAATGACCCAAAGCACACCATGCAAGTGTGGTCAAACTGCAAACATGCAAATATAGTCACACGAGATAGTAGGACAGGTGAGGAAGGAGATCTTAAGAGTCTGGTGGAAAGATGGAGAGGTTAGAATACAGACATTGGGAATGGGTGAAACCTTTTGGAGAGATTAGAAAACAGGATGTATTTTTAAAATTGCAATGTTTCTCAATGGGAATCTTTGTAGATCAGTGAAGAAGGGAAGATGTGAAAGTTACAACAGTGTCAGCACGATTTGGAATGCACTTCAGATTCTCTCCGATGGAAGATGAGAGGCTGGTCAGAAGAACATTGGAATAGTCCAGTCTAGAAGTAACCTACATGTGGATGAGCGTTTCAACAGCTAGTGGCTGGCTGAATCAGGCAGTCTTATGGCACAAGTGGTGCATTAAATTTATAACTGACAAAAAGTGAGAATAGGGGAGTGGCAACTAACCCTGTTTCCTTCAGCCTTTTTAAAAGGTGTTCCTTAACAAAAAAAAACTAGTTTTTAAACACACTGAAAGCACCCATTTCCTGCTGTTATTTTAAAGGGTTTTCCAACTTCTCAATTTCCCTTAATTGGCATATTAGGCAATATTTGTTACCTTGTGATTTGCCATTTCTGCTTTATCAAATCTTTGGACTTTGTTGAAGGAGGATCTGAAATTCAGTAGTTTGGCCTGCATCTTGACGAAAGATGGAGGTTCACTACTTTTAATTAGTTTTAATATTCTAAAAAACTTTGCATTGTAAGCTGAAAGATGTATCTACGTAAAGAAAATTCAAGTGTTTACTTCGTAAAGCTTAACCGTTTCATCCTTTGAAAAGGAAGTTTATTTAGGAACGTGGGAAGAGCACAAGAGCAGGAGTAGGCTGTTCAACTCCTCATGCCTGCTCCATCGTTCTAGATCAGGGCTCACCTTCTACCTGAATGTCTCATTCTGCAGTATCTTCCATCTTCCCTGATGTCATTAGTAACTAGAAATCTGTCAATCTCTCACTTGAAATTAGTTGTTGACTGAGCTTCCGTAGACCCCTAGGGTGGAGTATTCCAAAGATTTGTCACCCTCTGAGTGAGGATGTTCCTCCTCATCTCAGTCTCGGAATACAAGGCAAGCCATCTAAGGACCGTGCCCCGTAGTTCTGGACAGCTGTCTATCCCTTTTTAAGAATTTTTAAAATTTCTGAGTTTGTTTCTCATTCTTCTAAACTCCAGAGAATACAGGACCAGTCTCCTCCGTCTCTCCTCATAAGATCATCTTAACTCCCAAGAATCTGTCTGGTGACTCTATTGCACCAGAACTACATGCAACACTACAAGTGTGACCTAACTGGTGGTCTGTGTAATTGAAGCAAGAGTTCTTTGCATGAAAATGAATACGTGAGCAATAAAGACTAACATACCATCTGGATAGATCCAGATGAAGCATCATGTGTGAATACGTGGCTAATCAAGAAAACTGTAAACAAAATTTTGTTTAAACTTAAATGAGCTTGTTTTCCCTGAGCTCTCTCCCTCTTGCTTCTGTCCCCACTTCCTCCTCCCATGCCCTCTAATGACACTTCCCTTTAGTTGTCCTCCCGTCCCAAACAGGCACTACTGC